CCTTTGATCTCCCAGAGGCCTTCTTCTTCATGGTGCTCGGGTAAGAGCAGGCCCAGTCTGGTCTGTTTTTCTTTTGTTCGGTGCAGAGGTGTCACTTTCCAAGGAAGGGGGGTGTCTCGGAGTCCCCGGACGATTCTCTGGAACTGCTCCCCACAAAGCCAGTCAGGACTTTGGGGAGCCTCCTCTCCCTTGGAGCAGACTGTCTTCAGGGCACGAAGCTCACAGAGCTTCACCTTCCTGGGTCTGACCTTGGAGCATTGAGCATATGCCCCTCCGTGCGCTTCCCACAGCGAGTCCGCCCAGGCGGGGGCCTGGGGAAGCCAGAGGGTCCTGCACCCCCACTTCGCAGTCAGACGTGACTCTTAGCCAGCCAGTAAAACAGAAGTTTATTAGATGACAGGAACACGGTCTAAAACAGAGCTTGTAGGTACAGAGAACGGGACCCCTCAGCCGGGTCCATTTTGGGGCCCAGCAAGCCAGACAACCCCGTCTGCCCTCACTCCCCGTCCCCAGCCAGCTCCCAACTGAAAACCCCCTCCCGCCCCTCCTTCTCTGCTGAGTTCCTTTCCCGGGCCAGGAGGTCACCTGACCTCTTTATTCTCCCACACCTTTAGTATCCCCTTGCAGGGGGGAAGGGCCCGGGCCATCAGTGGCACCCACACAGAATTCAGAGGAAACATTAAGAACAGTCCCACTTCGTCACAGGGGGACAGCCCAGTGGATAGCTTGCTGCCCTGGGGCCTGGCAAACGGCCGCTGTGGGCAAGTTACTGAGGCAACACCCTGCCATCTGTACAACGGACACACTAGCAGCGCCTACCGCACCGGGTGTGTGAGGGTGAAATCTATTAAGAGCTGGGAGGTGCTGTAGATAAAGTCACTAGCCAAACCTAGGAATAGCTACATTCCTGATCTCTTTATGCTACGGCATAAATATGCCTGGCAATGAAATCACCACGTGTGCAGACCTCTGGCTGTCCTGGAGGACGCAGGCTGCTCTCGGGGGAGAAGTGGGGGGTAATTCCTGCTTTTCGGTCTCTTCTCTCGGCAGGGGGATCTGTGGGATTCTAAGCTGTGCGTATCTCTTCTGTCAGCGCTGGCTCCTGGGATACGTCCGGAGGAACACGGTCACCGCCAAGCTGTTGGCGACAGAGTAGGCGTTCTGGAGGGAGGGGCGTTCTCGGGAGTGGGGGCTGTTCCCAAGGTGCAGCAGGACGGGAGGCGTGCAAGCCGTGTGTGTGGCCGAAGATTTTCTCTGCCCTGGCCCTGTCGTCTTGTCCCTCCAGCCTCCGCCCCCTCCATGCTGTGCTGGATGTCACCTCCCACCGCATCCATCCTGGTCCCCAAGAGGCACCGGCACCTGCCACCTATTTGTTCCCTCCTAACCAGCCATTGGCAGCGAAGGCTCCATGTTGGAGCGTTCTCGGCATGCTCGGCTCCTGCGCTGCCCACAAGAGGAAGGTTTGTCTCCTCCTCCTCTGCTGCAGGAGGGAAAGGAAACCTCCCTCCTGCTCCAGAGTCTTTGCTGGCTTTTCACCCTAGGGGAGAATTCATGGGCCCATTGCTGCTTGGCAACCCAGCCTGTGTGACCTGCCCTCTCCCAGCCCCTCCCTTTCCCCTGTATTCAGAGAGCCCCATTCCAGGGTCGCCGGGTGATGTTACATGTCACTGATCTGCCTTTTTCAGCAAGCCCATTTATTCCTCCCTGGTGGCCCTCCTGCTCGCCTCCATCACATTCCCTCCCAGCCTGGGGCACTTCATGGCATCCAGGGTAAGTACTGGCCTATCTCGGGATCCCCTCGCCTGTTCTCTGACCAGTGGGGATCTAAGCACTCACTCCAGGGTGGAGAGCAGGGGCCTTTCCCACCCAGCTCTGAAAGACGGGCCACACTGGAGAGAGACGGCCCCCCCCCCCGTTCCTGGGGTCTGGCTTTACTAACAAAGTAAATTATCTTCTCACTAAAGTCCAGCTCCAACCTTCTCCCCAGGCTTGGCTGCACCTATAGCTCCTCTCTCCAGACTCCTCAGCCCACACCCTACATCCTCTCTGCCTCCCATCCAAGATCCCTCTGGCAGGGCAGCAGTCCCCTGAAGCCTGTATTTTCTCTCAGTCTGGTCTTCCAGGCTTAATACAGCTGGTAGGTGTAGCAGGCTGGGGCCAGTTGTACGCCTTCACTCTACTGACCTCTATGAGCTACTCCTGATTTTCCCCCTTGTGGGTGACAAGAGACTCAGACTGTGTCTGAGAACGATAGTGATTCACAGCATCTCCTCCTCCTGTGCAGGGAAGTGCTTAGACCTGTCTCTTCCTTTCCCAGCTCAGCATGAAGGAACTTCTCACCTCCCTCTTCGACAACCAGACGTGGGGCCTTCTTGTCCCAGAACGCATCGCTAGCCAGGCCTCCTCAAGTCGACCCTGAAAACCTGTGGCTTGAGTGGTGGGAGCCCAGCATCACCATCTATGGCAGCCTGGCGCTCTTTCTGGTGATGAAGGTATTGGCCCTGTCGAGGTCTCCGTGAGATTGGGTACCATGGGTCTGATTCTACAGGAACCTCAGCGCTCTGGGGAGTCAGGAGCCCCTTGCTGGACCACCCCCTAGGTCCTTCAGGGGGAGCCAAGAACATGCAGCCTCATGGAGCAGAGATGGGAGAGGAAAGTCAAGGACCCAGTGGAGTCTGATAAGGGATACAAGGTGGCAACACTTGTGCATAACCAGAGGGCTCCAAGGTTGTGCCATGTGTACTGGATGGAGGGGAAGTGCCCTCGTGAAGGGCTTAGGAGGAGAAGTCTCTGGTTCCTGTTGGGGAAATGTCCCGGTTACTCTTGTGTGATTCAAGGGGAAGCGTTGCCAGCAACTTCTGTGCTCCCTCTCTGTGTCTTCTGGCAAGAACCAGATTTCCCATGTAATGTTTGGCCAGGTCATCTGAGACCAGCTCAGCACAGCTCCTCCTCGCCAGTCCAGGGGAAGGCTTCTTTTTGGGTCCCTTGGCAGAGCTATCACCTCTGGGCGATGAGGGTCTGGCTGTGAACCCTGACATGGTAATGTGCAGGGTGTATGTGCAGAGCACGGCCTGCTGCTGGATGGAGGACTCTGCAAACTGGTTTGGTGGCTGGCCCCCCCCCCCCCCCCACCATCACAGGCTAGGGATGGCTGGAGTGGGTGCACGTGAGTGGATCTGACTCACTCCTGCTCTCTTGTTCGTTCAAGTTCTGGATGCTGATCTTAGCCACTACCATGCCGCTGCCAGCTGGGTACTTCATGCCGCTCTTTGTATACGGTGAGACCGCTTCGCCCTGCCCTTGCACCCATTTCTGATTGGACCCTTTGAGTGTCTTTATTACCATAACAGGGAATAAGGGCTGCCAATTGGACCAGCCCTTTGTCACTCAGAGCTCAGAGGAGGCTGCTGGGATCTCTCGACACGCAGAGCCCTTGGAAAGGGGAAAGCAGCAAGTGCTTAGACCAGCAACATCTGCCCCGGGCTCCTGGGAACTTTGGTTCCTGCTCCGGTGGCACGTACACTCGACAAGTCTTGGGCATTTGCGCTTCTGTCCCAGAGGGGCCCCCTGGGAGGTGGGAACGTGCGTCCCTGACCTTTAGATCAGAGCGGCTGGATTCCAGTGGTGAATGTTTTTCCAGGCGCTGCAATCGGGCGTTTGGTGGGGGAAGTGGTGGCCTTTCTCTTCCCCCAGGGTATCCAGTCGGACGGCATCGTTAACACCATCACTCCGGGAGGCTACGCACTGGCCGGTAAGTCTCTAGCACGTGACCTCAACTCAGGAGCCCGGCGACAGGCTTCGACTAACGAATGGAGCTGCAACGGTAGGTGCCTTTGCAGAGTGGCTCCAGAATTTAGTGTATTGCCCCATGTTTCTGGGGTGGTCTCCAGGATCCTTCTGTCTTCCCCCATTCTCCAGCTCAGGGGGGCTGGACACAGCTCCACTCCACCATGGCTTGCATGGCATGACCGCCAGAGAGAACGATGCAGGAGGATCCGGGAGCTGGACATGAGCACCCTGGCAGACCCACCCCGCCCGCCCCATGTGCTGGGCAGCACCGGGAGGTCATTGCCCTTTGTATTGTCCTTCTGGCAGGGGCGGCAGCGTTTTCGGGCTCGGTCACCCACACCCTGTCCACTGCCCTGCTGGCCTTTGAAGTGACCGGGCAGATCGCCCATATCCTGCCCGTCATCCTGGCTGTGCTGGTGGCCAACGCTATAGCCCAGAAGTTCCAGCCCTCCTTCTACGACGGCACCATCATTGTGAAGAAGCTGCCCTATCTGCCCCGGATCAGGAGCCGACACATCGGGTGAGCCCCTGGGGAGACGCTGCTGCCGCCTGCTGCCCCTCGGAGGGGCGTCTCCGCCGGCCTGGCGCTGGGTTGGCGGGGGTGCAAGAGGGGCAGGTTAGGCAGCCAGCTAGAGCCGGAGGGGATGGAGCCCCACTCCACCGCTGCTGGGTAGCAAATGCAGCGCCTGGCACAGAGGCAGAGCTGAGGTTGGAGAGTGGCCCTGGCATACCGTGGGTTAACAGATCAACCACAGGGTCCTCAACTCCCATGGCATCCCTGCATCAGTCTTTGATTCCTGGCTCTGGCTTACTCCAGCCCCCCAGAGGCCTCGGTGCTGGGTCAGAGGAGAGCGCTCTCCCCTTTGCCCTGGCTGACCCTCGGCCCTTCCACCCCCAGCTCCTTCAGCGTGACCACTCGCCAGTTCATGAACACCCACTTTGCAGTCCTGGCCAAGGGCGCCAGCTTTGAGGAGGTCCTCAGAGTCGTGACCTCTACCGACGACCTGGAGTACCCCATTGTGGAGAGCACAGGTACCGCGCCACCCCGCGCCCGGAGACGGGGCCACGGGTCCTACTGGCCCTTCCGCTTCCCTCTGTCCCCCAGCCGCATGGCCATCTCTGTCTCTCCTTCCTTCCCCCCGCCCCTCTCCCTTTCCCCCGGAGCTGGGCCCTGCTGCCCTGGGCAGTGAGACACAGACTCGCTTCCTAGTCTGGCAGGGATGGAGCACCTGGAGCGCTTCCCTTTGATTGACGTGGCTGGCGTTTCTCCTTGCTGCTGAGGGCCCCGGGCCGGAAGGGTGGGAGCGAACCGGTGACATTAGCAGCCTTACCTTGGCAGAGGAGCAGCCGTGACTTAACAGAGCCCGTGGCCGGGAGCTGCCTCCCTGGATGCAGCCCCCGTGGTGGGCAGAGATGTGCCATCAGCCTGGGCCCATGACCATGAAGTGGTCAACCGGTGCCAGAGATCTGAGCTACCCTTCCAGCTTCTCCCATCTCCTGTCTCCTCCCCCCCCTAGAGTCCTTGATGCTGGTGGGCATGGTGCAAAGAACCGAGCTGGTCAGGTACCTCCAGACCCACGATGAAGCCAAGCCGTCCCCCCAGGAGCCAGGGGAGAAGGTAGGTTCAGAGCACTCATCCCCCTGCTGCCCCGGGACAGCCCCTCCAGCCAGCAGCTCTTAGCACAGAGCGGGTGTAGGTGGTGGGGAACCAGTGTCCGGCCAGACCTGGGAGGGAACTGGTGAGATCTCTGGCCTAGAGGTTGCAGGTCGCCCCCTCCGTCCGGTCAGCCCCACCTTAGAGCCTCTTCCCTTCTCATCGCTTCAGCCCACGAGTGATGGGTGAGGCTCTTTGGTCGCGGCAGCCCGAGCCGGATTGTTCAGTGCAGTCCATTCGAGCGCTTGCTCCAGTCTAGCAGGTGGTCACCATGGGTCAGCCCCAGTTTCCTTCCGAGACCGTTGGGTGGCTCCATGTCGCACCCGTGGCCCTCCCGGAGCTGCACCCCCTCGGAGAGACCGTGCCTCAGGCTGCGATGTGCCGACACCGAGGCCACATCCCCAGAGACGCCGGCCTTGCGGGGGCGTTCAACCCTACCCCGATATCACCCCTGTCACCCTGCTGAGACCACGCCCACTGCTGAGGCTCTGCCCTCTTAAGGGGGCAGCACCTTGCAATCCGTAAGGTATCCGACCGCAAAGGCACTTCGCCGAGTCCTGTCCCGTGGGAGGCAGCGCGTGGGTGGGACACGCCCCCGAGAGCGCTCTACGAAACCCCCCGCTGTCTTCCCCGACAGCCTCGCTCCAACGGGACGCTGGGGGACGACTGCACCATCGAGCCACTCACCCTCCAGCTGTCACCTTGGACGTCCCTGCACCAGGTAACGCGGCGGGAAGAGGGCCTGGGAGGAAGGGCTCTGGGGAGAGGCCAGGCCTGGCAGGAGAGACGGCTCTAACAAGGATCAGACTGATTGCCCAAGCGGCAGCTGACAAACCATCCAGGGGTGCCAAAGGCTATCGAAATCCAGCCCCGGGCCATGCTTGTGTCTGTCCCCTACCTGTCCTCCGGCTGTCAGTCCCTTGTACTAGCGCCGTGTAACCAAGAGCGTCTGTTCAGGCGGAGATGAGCACCGGCCACGTGCTGAGACCTGGTGCATTGGTTGCTTGGAGAGCGTCTGTTTCATATGCAGATTACTGTCCACGTGAGCTTTGGTCACCACGGCATGAATGTGGTATAAAGACCCAGCTAGATGGATCGGATGCAGCGAGAGAGACAGGAAGGGTCTGGGCCAGCTGCCAACGTGCCCCCCAGTGTTACAAAGTTCTGATTCCAGCCGGGATTTGTTTTATTACGTGGGCTCCGTGTCCTCTGCAGGGGATGCTCCCCGCACGGTTCGCAGCAGAGGAGGCTGGATGCCCTGAACTCCCTTGGGGAGGGTACACAAGGGCGCAATGAGGGAGGCCCAGGGCCCTGCTACCCTTGGGCAGCTCCAGGCTTGTGTGGGCCCTGCCAACTCCACGTGAGGAGGGAACCGTCGGGCGCAGGGGGGCGGGAGGGCTCGGCCGAGAACAGGGCGGCGCTGCCCTGCCCCGTCACACTCGCCTCTCCTTCCCTTCCAGGCTCACAACCTGTTTGAACTGCTGAACCTGCAACGTGTCTTCGTCACGTCCTTGGGGCGGGTCGTCGGGGCCGTCTCTCGGAGCGAGGTAGGGGCTGGGGCCAGCCAGGACTCGGGGTTGGGGGAGAGCTGCCTGCGGGGAATGGCCAGGGGCTCCAGGACCCATCCTGGATTGGGAAAGGAATGGGCATTGAGGAGGTGACTTAATGGCTATCGAGTCCCCAGGGTGGGGAGGCGCATGGAGCCATGCGGGGACACGGCCTTGCCCACCTGCCGCTTTCTCTTCCAGATGAAGAAGGCGATTGAAGACCTGGCAAATCCGAAGACGTTGAAGTGAGCGATTCGGAGCCTGGGAGAGCAGCCCCTTCCCCCTCCTATGCGGCGGAGCGTGGGACGGGGGATCGCGCTGGGGCACTGAGATTTCAGCAGCAGGGGGGCAGTGCTGGCAGGGGTCTCCCCAATTATTTTTTTGTAAATGGAAATGGATTTGAAAGCTCCTCCGCCCTTCCTGCTCCCGCCGCAAGGAGCCACGGTTGTGACAGCAGAGGCAACACCTGGACCTCTCTGGCCTGGGGAGCCTGCCAGCTGCTGGCAGCCCTCACCCACCCTGGAGACACAACAACACACAGCTACCCAGGGACAAACAACTTGGCCCACAGACTGTCAGCGCCGAGGGCAAGCCAAGGCTGCAATGTGAAATGTGCACGTGCCATCCTGAATTTAGTGCCTGCCGCCCTCTTGGGGCCAGGCCCAGCGGGACAAGAGTCTGCTTCTTAGCAAGCCCTAGAAGAGACGCTCCTTGAGCTCAAGGGGTAGGGGCTTGTGCTTCGGGCAGTGAAAGGCCCCGGCTCCTGCCGTGTACGTCTGGGTTCATCACAGACCTGCCTGCACTGAATTCTCCTGTAATGTGACGTGCTGCCTTTGCTATGCAATCGCTCCCTCACTGCAAGGGGGCAGGCACGAGCCCCGAGGAGCCAGACCACCCCTTGCCGGTCCCCAGTGGAAGGTCCTAGACCATCCCCAGGGCAGCCAGGCTGTTGTGGCCTACACAGCAGGGGATGGGGGGCTCCTTTGAAATCCATTGTTCCCACTCACCGCGCGCAGTAAATCAGAGATGAGGGCTGGCAGGTGTGGAGCTCTTGATCCTTTGTATTTCTCTGGGGACACGGAGCGCGGAGGGGAAAAGGCATCACAGCCGTTGCATCCCCCGGGGGACCCACTCCCCTTGCCCCGGTTGACGCAGGAAGCGTTGCTAAGGTGCACACAGTCTCCACGCAACATTAGGAACCAGCTAGGTTACAAAGCACACAGCGCCAGGCGTGGTGCCCGCTCTGCCGGCTGGGCAGTGGCTGGCTGAAGGGAGGGGGGCTTAGGACCAGCTCTAAGGGGAGGCAGCGGCGCCCAGCAGTGACCGTCATTGCACATACCAGCCCCCTGCTTTACAGAAGCCCCCTGCACGGGAGGAGATCCCGCGGGATGCAGCCCCCGCCCAGAGCGACGGGCGGGAACCTGCCAAAGGTGCCAGGCAGAGCGGTGCCAACGTACAAAGTCTTTTAAATTAAAATATAACATTCGCCTGTCTCCCCTTCCCCTTCCCCCCAGTGGGCTAGCTGAGATTTTTCTCATTTGTATTAGGGTGTGTGTGTGGGGGGGTAGCCATAGGACCTGCCCACAGAACCATCCAAACCTTTGAGGTCAGAGAACAAAGCCAGCTGCGCACAGCAATGGTGGAGGGGTGGGGTTGGTTGGAGGAAGGGCCTGGCCTGTAGTCTAGGCTGACCCCGTTGTCACCACGGTCCCCGATCCGCACTGTGTCCCGGCCCTACCCACGGTGCCGTGCAATGCGGGGGCATGGCTGTAGCTGGGGGGCATGACTAGCATCCACACGGTAGCTGGGCCCTGGAAATCAACTATGGTCCTGTAAAGAGGAAGGACCAAACTGACTGGGTTTGTAGCATTTCCGCCTTTAGGAGCTTATGGGAATTAGACATCCCCATCCCCCTGCCTTGATGGAATTTGGGTATCTAACCCCCTTAGGCGCCTTTGAAACTCCCAGCCTCAGAGACCAGGATGATTTCCTAGTACAAACCAGCTGCTCGCTAGCCAAACGCCAAAGCCCCTGACCCCAAGTGGCTTGAGAACGCATCTGTGCAGCGAGCTGGAATTGCACGGGGGAGCACAGAGAAGCGCCCATGTTAAACCAGCCAGGAGCTCGTCCGAACTACGTGGAGACAAGAAGCCAAAGCGGCGGGTGGCGGCTTGCACACAGACCACGCGCTCGCGTGGCTAGCCGGGAGCGCCGTGGGTGGCCGGCTGCCGGCTGGAGCACAGACACTGATGCGGATGCTTCCCCTGCTCCCCGGCTGTCCCAGTCCTCGGGGAACCCACCGGGGGACGGAACGGGTCTTGGTCTCAGCGCAGCTCAGCAGCCTTGGCCGAAGGAAAACCAATCTCAGCCCCAGACTCGGTGCAACCAGCGCCAGTCCAGCGAATGCCGCCTCTGAAGGGCCAGGCAGCCCCAGCGGTCACCGGTAGGAGGGATGCTGTTGGTGTTGCCTTGCCGCACTGTCTCAAACCAATAGGCGGCTTCTAATCACTGCTCCCAGCAGCATCCAGGGAGCTGGAACTAGCCAGCTCGGCAGGGCCCCTCGCGCCATCCTCAGGGCAGCCCCGGCCCCCCTTCCTGTCCCGGGGAGGGGCGGGGGACCTAGTTATAAAACACTTCGTCCTCCGAGAGGGAGCTGCTGTCCACGTAGTGCAGGGAGTTGCTGAGCCGCTTCTGGCCGACGCTGGTCGTGCCCTCCTGCTCTCTCCCCACGCAGGCCTGCTCCTTCTCCGAGCTGTCTGCCCGGGAGCTCCCGGTCCGCGGGGAGCCGCAGGGGAGAGCCCCGGGGAAGGGGTGGGTCGAGGTCCACCTGTCCACTCCGGAGTGCACCCAGGGTATGGGGGAGGTGTGGGTGGAGGAGGAGCAGGCGGGCAGGCTGCCTTCCAGGTGGGGGCTACTTATCACCTGGGGACTCAGCACCAGCTTCTCCTGCAGGTAGATGCTCTCCAGGTCTGAAAGCAAAGCCGGGGAGGGGAAGAGTGTGTCAGGGACTCAGCAGGGCAGGCTACTGGCAGCTGGCAGGACCCGGGAGAACGGGCAAGAACAACACTTTTGGGAGTGGCCACCAATCCTGGGTGCCCAGCTTGAGACACCTGGAGGCGCTGATCACCCATGGCTCCAGCTGGAGTTGCTGCGTCCTCGGTCCATCCAGGGCCCCAGTCCTGCCCTCAGCTCCTGGGCTTGCGGAAGGGGATCCCCCAGGGATGCAGCATTGGCCTAGTGCAGGGGTGCCCCTGTGCTCCATGGCCCCCAGCTGCCCAAACACCCCCCCCCTTGGAACAAGATGACAGAACTGGAGCCAAGGAACCACCCCTGACTGATACAGGACACCAGCAAGGATGGCCCCGAGGGACCCTCCTGAATCTGTGCCATGCAGGGAGGGCTGGGGAACATCAGGAGCCCTGCAGGGCCGCTCATAGCAGAGAGGAGGGGGAAGGTACCTTGAAGCTGTACGATCTCCTGGGAGCTGCCCCCGTAATTCATTTCTTCATCGTCTAGCGAGGACCAGGCGCTCAGGGTGGCCTCGGTGATGGCGAATTGTTCAGCGACCCCTGGGCAGGACCGTGGGAAACCAAACACAGGTTACAAGGGGAGGGGATTGATACTGGGCCGTGTCCTGAACCTGGCTACGCCAAGGTAAATCTGGAGTGACATCACTGAAATCAGAGCGAAACTGGATGAACACCAGTGTTCCCAGGAGGAGAATCTGGCTCGTCCCCGGCAAACCAGCAGAATTCTATCGCCAGGACATAGGAAGTCCCAGAGGGGATCCAGCCACGCTCCATCCAGTCCAGTGCCCTGTCTCCAGCCGGGACCAGCACCCTGCTCGGGGGGAAGGTGTGATAGGGGGATCACGATATGGAAAACGCTGGATGGCAGTGAGGCTGAGGGAGTTCTAGCCGGGTCAGGCCCGGGAGTCCTCTGCATGGGTTACCATTTGGCCGACAGCTAAGGGACATGCCAAATGCACGGGCACTGCTCCCCGCCATTCTCCCCAAGGGATGCCCCAGTGCGCAGCCACTTGCAGTGCTCCGTCACGCCGCTGCACAAGTGGAGTCGCTGCTGGTGCATTCCCTGCTCCCCCTTCCCCCAACACAGATTATCCCCTGCAGCCTCCCCGCTGCCCACCCACCTGCTGCAAAGCGTGCCTCCCTCAGCTCGTCCGTGAGGTAGGAGTAGTGCTCTTCCTCCGTCAGCCACGGCTCGCAGCCCACCTGCGGGGCGCTCCAGCCTTTCCACTCGATGAGGTGGGCCACCCGGCCGCGAGCCATGGCGGTGGGTTTGGTGATGTGGTCCTTTATGGTCTGGACTAACCCTAAAGCAGAGACGGGAGGAGCTGGACTGAAGCGGGCGGGATTCAGAGCAGTGGGATCGATGCACCAAGACTTGGTGCTGAAGGAACGTCCTGCGTGACTGATCATGTCCATGCTGGGTGGGCATCTGCACTGCGGTAGCCAGTCCCCAGCCAGCCAGCCCCACTCACCACAATCCTCTCCTAAGGGGCCACTACAGCAGCTGGCTTGGATTTCCTAAGGAGCTGGTCAGGAATCTAGAGGGACATTTATAAGATGTTGCCTGGTTTGGGATTGAGGGGCGCTGGTGGAGCTGTGGGGGGGACCCGAGGTGGAGGAGCGGGGCGGGAGGGGGGCTGTGGGTCAGGATTGAGGGGCGCTGGTGGAGCTGTGGGGGGGACCTGAGGTGGAGGAGTGGGAGGGGAGGGGGCTGGCGGGTCGAGGTATTGGGAGGGGCGCGTGGTGGAGCTGTGGGGGGGACCCGAGGTGGAGGAGTGGAGGGGGAGGGGGGCTGCGGGTCAGGATTGAGGGGCGCTGGTGGAGCTGTGGGGGGGACCCGAGGTGGAGGAGTGGAGGGGGAGGGGGGCTGCGGGTCAGGATTGAGGGGCGCTGGTGGAGCTGTGGGGGGGACCCGAGGTGGAGGAGTGGAGG